TTCATTACAGGTAAATGGCATCTCCTCCACCATCTCCTCCACCATCTCCTCAGGCATCTGGAAAGACATTTTCTAGTAAGAGGAGTCGACAATCTACACGGTTGAAAGGCTTGACCGTTAGACACATATCCGGCCGAAGTTATCCGTTTCGTTGATCCTAGGACTGGCAAGGTGTCGGGTCCCTTCAAGTACCCAATTTAGTAGCTACTTGGGTACACTAGCTAGAGAGAAGGTATTTATTCTATTTCAAAGTTAATTTCATTTCAAATATATTGTTGATACTTATGTTGTTTATGTTGTGTATATATCTATTCTCCATCCTACTTGGGATCATGTGGAGGAAACCGTGAAGAACTTGTTATGACAAGATCTTCTTGTAAGTATGTGTATTTAGTTGTTTATATTGTTTATACATTATTATCAATTGGTTAACTAAAACTTGTTTGCTACTGTAGGAACACTTTGATTTAGTTAATTCCGAGGATGTGAGGAGGAAGATAATGACTGACCATAGCAAAAATGTGGAGGCAGTTCAAGTCCACATTGACCACTAAATGGGTGTATGCTTGATGACAAAGTTAGCAAGGGATTAACCCCTTGCCAAAGATATGGCATAGATGAGGACACTTGGAAGAAGTTTGTACATAGTAGGACTGGTTCAGAGTGGGAGGTAATAGCTTATGGCTTAATTGACTTGAATATTTCATAATGAGTTGTGTATCTAATATTGTGTTCAATTATGTTGCAGGAAAGAAGACAAAAAGCAAAAGACATTCAAAGGAAGAATGTCGCCCCCACCTTCTGTCTCGTGGGGGTACGACTTATTGACTAAGAAGATGATGGAGGACAAGAGTAGACTTCGACAGATCGGAGTTAGCCTCTTCTGGTTTAAGCGAAGAGCGAGATTCCTCCACCATCTCCTCCAAAACGTCACCGGAAGTGGAAGAGGGCGCGTACAAAGCCTTCCGGTGACATGACGTCGCTGGAAGCCCGAGAAATTGCTTGCTCGGATTGTAAGTAAAAGAAGTTAATTTACTTTGAATTAGTTATATGTAACATGTTCATTAATAAAATTAACTTTTATAATGTAGGATGCCTTGGAGGAGCAGTGTACACAGGGAACTTTCATCCCTTCAGGTCGTCGGGATATCTTGACCACTGCTATTGGACGACCGAACATCCAGGTCGTGTTCGAGCTGTTGGCCAAGGTGTGGGTGTCCGAGCGGTATTTTGGACCACCATCACAGGATATCCGCACCTCCACATCCCCGAGCCAAGAAGATATTGCTCGCCTTGGAGATGACTCTCACGGAGAAATTGACACCGACCATCGGGGCAAAATTGGAGGAAGAGTTGACTCCCGCCATCAGTCGCACGACTTGAGGAGACCATCACCGCATGTGTGCGGGAGCGGTTCCTGCGTATGACCTCCATGGGTACTTCATTTGCTGATGCTCATCCTCTATCGAGTGCATTTTCAACCACAAATTGGTACTTGACTTGTGTTTCTAAAATCTTAGTCCTTATTGGAATTTACTCGTATTTGTAGGTCCAAGAGTTAGCACAAAGGGCAGTTGTGCTTGAAGCCACTATCGAGGTCACACTCGAGGTGACATCTATTCATCCCGAATCCACAAAGGATGATCGATATGACTTGTGGGTTGAGGTAGATGAAGGTCTAAGGCTAGTGGCCCATGGATCAGTTCATGAAGGGGCTTCAACCATCCACAATGTGCCTTTGGATCCTAACTTGGTCAAAGTAGTGGTTGAAAAGATGGTTGACGCTGCGACTAGTGTCCCTATCCCCACCGAAGAGGTGCGGAGCAGTGGGCCAAGCCCTTCGGACCTTCATTACTTGGCCCCGACATTTAGTTAGGTCAATAATGGCAAAGATATGTATATGTATGGTTATAATACATCTAACACATAAATAAATTGATTTATTGTTTATGATTATATTTTATAAAATATGTAGGATGTTCGGCAGACCAAAAGACTTGGGTAAAGCTATTGCCACTCTTCACGCATCTAAGGAGAAGACACCGAGTTGTGGAGACTTCTCCAAATCCAATTTTTGATCTCTTGTCTCTTTCCCCACAATTGTATCTGCAGTCATTCCAAGTTCCATGGGATTGTACATTATTTGGGATGACTTCTAGCAATATCCCCCTATACATTTCCCACACTCGATGCCCTAGAGATTGGGATGGGCAATCAATGTCTAAATATAGCCGTTCTACAATTTTGGACATTGTAAGTTCATATCTTTCATGACTCTTTTCATTTTAGTAAATATATAAGCTATAAGTTCACTTAAATTGGCATATTTTAGGATGATGCACGAAATGATAGTGGAGTAGGGCATTGGTCATGTGTATGGATTCTTCGAGCCTCAATCCATACAAAAGTCCGGGAATAAGCGTGATCAAATTCTCGGTTACATGCGGAATTGGATGACCTGTTTCTAAAAGAGATATTTACCTTGGAGCATACCATCATTCGTAAGTTATCCCAGACTTCTTCCGGTTTTACACAAGTTTTTTTAATAGATTCTAATCATGTGTATATACGAAACCACTGGCAGACTATTAGTTATTTGTCCAAAGCAGAATCTTGTGTGTTGGTTCCGCTCATTGGGAAGAAAACCGGACATGGAGCTAAAAAATATTGTAAACGAGTAAGTATTTATTATATTATGTCTAAACATCTTGATTATTCTATTTCTAAGCCCCTTCTTTTCAATATATAGTGCTTTAAAGGTTTGTAGTACATTAGATGGAAAACACACAAGTAAAAGCACAACTCCAAATTGGAATTTTATCAAAGTAAGTAGCCTTTATATATATATTATACTATCTATTAATTTACGTTCAAATTTAATAGTTATTTTTAACATATTTACTCATTTTTAGTGTAACAAACAAAATGGAGGCTACGAGTGCGGCTACTATGTAATGTATTGGATGTGACTCATCATTTTTTGTAGCATTCAGGATAGTTGGGACGAGGTAAGTTGACATTTGCTATTATATTCAATTCCTTTATTTTTTTTACTTAGGGTTTACCATTCTATTATTGTGAACTTCTTACAGGCATTTAAAGATATAAAACCTTTGCCTATGGATACTATAGACATGGTTAGAAACAAATGTGCATAAAAGTTTGTACAAGTAGTTAGGAATGATAGGATTGATTGATAATTTTTGTGTATTATGTACATAATGTGGCTGGACTGAGATTTTTGTGTATTGTGTAAATATATAGTGATTAGGTGAAAAAACCTGGTTGAGATTTTTGTATATTGTGTATATATTGTGTAAATTTGGCTGGACTGAGATTTCTGGACTGAGATTTATAGCAGGTCGTGTATGGTAGCACAAAAATAGAACAATTTTTTTTTTTTAAAAAGGGATATTCTACGTCGGTTATTGCATTAACCGACGTTGTAACGTCAGCCGCTTGAGCGAAGTCGGTCGCTTGAGCGAAACAGCACCTGAGAGTCCCCTTTGTTTGAAGGTTTCGTCGCTCAAGCGAGAAAGGACTTTCAACGTCGGTTAGTTCAATGTCCGACGTAGAAATGAGTAAATTCTACGTCGGCTATTGAACTAACCGACGTTGAAAGTCCTTTCCGCTCAAGCGACCGTGTACTCGCTGAGCGAAACAAGCACCCGAGAGTCCCCTTTGTTTGAAGGCTTCGTCGCTCAAGCGAGTACACCGGTCGCTTGAGCGAGAAAGGACTTTCAACGTCTGTTAGTTCAATAACCGACGTAGAATTTACTCATTTCTACGTCGGACATTTTCTTAACCAATGTAGATGTCTAACACTTTCAACGTCGGTTATTCTGAACCGACGTAGAATCCTTTGACATTCAACGACGCCTGATTCAACGACGTCATTGGAACCGACGTTGAAAGCCTTGTACACCCGACGTTGAATGCTCATTCTGCAGTAGTGTATCTTACGAGCTTTACTAAGGGTTTGGTTCATAATAAGGTAAGAGACCTTTATATTTAGTTAAGCCAGCAAGCATAAATAAGTCAAAATCTAGATACATAAGTAGGCTACAAATCATGCTTACTAGCCAAACAAATAGACATCAACACAAACATTATTCTTAGGAATAATAGTAATAAATTTACATTAATTGTATAATATACCAGAAATTTATGAAAGTATAAATAATACAAATATAAGATAAAACAAAAAAATTATTAAATTTAGTGAGAACGTGAACTTAGGCTTTGTCAATTTTGTTTTCAAATGCCCCAAGATAATTGTTGTGGACAGGGAAAACGAAATATGGCAATTATTTAAAAAATAACGTAACGTGAAAAGTTTTAAAAATAAATGATGAAATTAAATATGTTTCCCATAAATAGTTCTAAAGATTTCTATTTAAAGGAACATGAGTGTCATTCTCCAAAAGACTCTCCATTCTTGATTTTGAATACACCAAATCCTAGAAGGTTTGTTTTGCTTTCAAGTTCTACTCATGAAAGAGTTGGTCTCGGGGTTTGATACATTGGAGAAAATTTGCTTTTTGGGTTCTGGTCCTCAAAGAGTTGTTGGGGTACACAGCAACAATTAAAAAAAGAATAAAGGTGTTGTTGGGGTACATTTTGTCATTTAAATTTCCTACTTATTCTTAAAGTAAAAAACCCAAAAAGAAAAACCATACGTCTCATCCGTGTTCCTTTATTTATTTCCTCCTGCGCTTTGTTAAACTTTGGTTTAGAATGTCTTAAGGAAAAGCTTTTGTTGTCAAATTCATTTTTGTTTTTTAGCTTGCTACCATGCAAGTTCAGTACAGCATCTAGCATCTCGTTGCTTTCAGTGTATCCCATACTTCACTCCAGTTGTTAACTAAGTATATCAAAACACAGCAAAATTTCAAGTTAACACAGGATCCCCCAAGAGAGCAACGAACGAGGAACCTCTTATAATAGCATTGTTTGTCATCTACAAGACAAGAACCGCAATATTTTCTCAGCTTGCAAACATGTTTAAGTCACGGAGCAAGAAAAATAGGATTAAAGCTGTATTCAAACTTCAATTTCAGGCTACTCAGGTAAACTGAAGACACAAATATTTATCCATTTTACACTAAATGACAGAGGTTTGTGCCTGCCAGTAGTTACAAAGTTACAATTGAAACGTATTGCAAACAAGTTTGAAATTAATACAGCATCACATTGTAGATTCAGGTATGTTTGATAACTTCCATATTGTGAGGAATTTCATGCCAATGCATAATTTTATCAGGTGCCAAGGATGAAAAAATCTGCACTGAAGGTAGCTTTGGTACCTGATGATGTTGGGAAGCCTACGGTGAAACTAGAGAAAGTTGCTGTCCAGGATGGAACCTGTTCATGGGAGAATCCGATTTTTGAATCGGTTAAATTCGTTAGGGACACGAAATCAGGAAAAATTCAAGAGAAAATCTACCATTTTGTTGTTTCAACTGTGAGCAGTAGATTTAATTGCAAACTATCGTTTACCTGACTATGTTGTCTGGAAAGTCTAATCGTTATAGGTTCTTGCAGGGATCTTCAAAGTCTGGCTTTCTTGGAGAATCCTCAATCGACTTTGCTGATTTTGCTGCAGAAACTGAGCCATTGACTGTATCCCTACCTCTGAAGTTTGCCAATTCAGGCGCAATCCTACATGTTGGTACCTTCTATTTCCCTCCTCACCTGGTTTCTTATGTCCTTCACATCATGCACGTGATTACACATCTTTAAAAATCTTATCTTCATCAGACCTTTTTTTTTTTCCATTCTTAGTTCATATTATATTAATATCATCACATTACAACCACCAAATATAATTCCTCAAATAACAAATGATGAGACAGGTGACAATTCAGAATGTGGAAGGGGTGCAGAGAGATCAAAGGTGAAAATGAACCTTGCAGCCAGTTAACTTATCTCTTAAACTTTTCTTTTGCTTCATGATTTCATTCCTCCCCTTGTTACTTACCTTTCTGTGGCAGTACTTACAGAAACGGGGAAGATAATGGAAATGGAAGCTCAAGACACCTACTGAGCATTTGCAGTGCAGATGAAGGTTCTCGTAATGTCAGTGAAGTAAGGTTTTACATGATACGGTAACTTTATACAGCTAGCAATTTCTATTGAACAAAGTTGAAAATTTCCTAACCACTACATGAGGATATATTAAGAAAATAAATAATCTATATCATCAAATTTCAGTAATTATTAACATTTTTAAGGATGGGAACCTGACTTTTAAAGCCTCTAACGGCGTCACTCCTGTGGGAACTCTATGGCAGGATTTTCCCAAGCTATTACCACCCTTGAGGCAAAATTCAATGCCGTCAAAAGGAACTATTGAGGCCATTGCAACAAGAGCTCAAATACATAGGGGGTCACTGGGTTCAGCATCAGATAGGAATTTAGGTGACTTCTGGAGGAACAGCCTGGAAGATACTCTTCCTCGAGAAAGATTACAAGAGCCTTCAGATAATGTCATCGAAAACCTCCGAAGTGAAATTGCTTCTCTAAAGAGGAAAGCAGAAGAATCAGAACTAGAGTTACAATCGCTTCAGAAGCTGGTTGAGAAGGAATGCAGTCAAGGACAAAGTATGTCAAGACAAATAATGAACCTCAGAGAGGAGAGAAATATGATCAAAACTAAATATGAGCAGCTAATGTGCCAGCAAAACCTCAATGAGACCAAAAATTCAAAAGTCTTACAGACTGAGATTGAAGATGCTAGGCTGCAGTTAGAAGCAATAAAAGAAGAGCTTGCTTATGAAAAAGAGTTTAGTTCTAACCTTCAATTGCAACTCCATAAGAGACAAAACTCAAACTCTGAACTACTTTTAGCAGTGAGAGAACTTGAAGCAATGATGGAACATAAGAATAAGGAATTGTTGGACAATAATAAAGAGCATGATGATGCCACAGAATTAGGTCACTTGAAGCAGAAAATTGCAGACCTGAATGGTGAAATAGACATTTATTATAAGCAACGTGAACAGCAAACTGAGCATATAGAAGAGCTCAACTTTGAGTGTGAGCTTCTGAAGAAAGAAAACCTGAATATCTCTTTGAGATTTAAACATGAAGAAGCACAACAAATTGTGTTACAAAATAAACATTCAGCTTCTTTGGCAACTATAGAACAACTTGAATCCCAAGTACGGAGATTAGAAGAAAAGATAGAGAAGCAGGCAGATGATTTTTCAGGCTCATTTATTTACATCAATGAACTTGAAAATGAAGTCAGTGGTTTGAAGAGAGAATTGAAAACACAAGCAGAAGAATTTATAAAAGATTTGCAAGCCATGAAATGTGCAAAACTTGAGCAGGAAGAACGGGCCATCCAAACAGAGGAGACTTTGATAGAGACTAAACACAACAATGATCTCACATGTCAGCGTTTTCAGGATGAATATAGAAGTCTTTTAGTTGAAATGACACTGAAAGTAGAAGAACACGAAAAGAAGTCCATGGAAGCTTATCAAGAAGCTAATGAATTGCAGAATCAGAACAAATTTATGGAAGAAATTGTCCAGAAATGCAATCAAGAGATTAGGGTTATTACAAATCAGAATGAATTGAAACTTCAACAGCTCTTGAACCAAATGGATTCAAAAGAAAAGAAAGTGGAAATGATGTCACAAGAACTAGAGATTAACTCCAAACAACTTGATGATGTACAAAGGCACAGGGATGAAAAGGATAAGGCATTAACAAAGCAAATTCAAGTGCTCAGAATTGAAATTAGAAAGCTGATGCTAGAGGAGTATGCATTGTCTAAAGCTGATCCAACAGAGCACATGTTAATGCAAGAGAAAAATGATGAGGAGATAAGGTTTGACACCCTAATGTCAGAAGTAGAAATCTTTAAGACTCAGCACGATGAATTAAAACATAACTTGCATGTGGAACAAGCAGAGAAAGAAAATATGAAGGAAAAAATATCTCAATTAGAAGAAGAGGTTAAGAAGAAGGAAGAAGAGCTAAGTGCTGTAGAAAAAAGGCTCAAGAATAGCAAAGGACAAGCAACAGCCAAAAGTATGAATTTGGCTTCATGGTACCACGAGAGTGCTGCATCTGGTTCATCAACTAAGGAGTACAATAGGAAGTCAAGATCAGAAATGCAGACGGTAATTTTCCAGCTACTTTGCTAAAATTATAATAAAGTTAGTATCTGTCACATTACATATTAGGTCAGGTTGCAAGTTATCATCACAACCACCCCCTTATGAACTCTACACAGTACAGAGAATTGAGTATTCTGAAATTATGCAATATTTAAAATTTGCAACAAACCAACGAATCATCATTTTTAGGGCAAGTTATAAAATTTTAAAACTGTAAAGCAAACATTTGACATGAACACGATAAAGGCTGAAAAAAATTGTCTGAGAAAAAGCACATTATAATCGGATAGTTCATATTTCCTTAATGCTCTGAGGATGATAATGTCATTTTTCAGTTCTCTATAATACAATTGTAGAAGGCACGATCAACAAGTTGGAGATTTATAAGGGTGTTTGACTCATATTAAGTCTTAGGGCAATTTTTTTAAGATGATTGGTGATCAATGCACCAGGCTAAAAATTTTTCATGAGTTGGAAATGAAAGAGTAGGGATCATTATTGGTCTTTTTCTGTTTTTCGTACTATGAAGAGAATTTTGTCCCCTGGTTTAAGTAGGCAATAAAAAATTCAGAGTTCTGTGGTGTTCCTTGAGCTTTTGTCTGTCTAGTACTTGAACTATTCTGAAAAACAACAAATAACAATTCTTTTGGTCCGATCCTATCCCTTAAATTTTAGCAAATAAAAAAAATCTTAGAACGTAAACTCTGCTAAGAGATTATCCAATTAGCCAGAGGTTTGGTCCTTGATTAAGTCATCTTTCCCTTCTCCACTCCATCTGCTTGCATCTAATATGTAACAGAAAGAACAGAAAAGAAAGAGAATATGCAATTAAAGTTTACTTGGTTTTGATTTGCACATATTAGTTGATGACTTGATGATCTACATTAACTATGACTATTGTTATATTTGTAACATAAAAGGGAATGGACGATGCAAACACCCGTGTTGAAAAGTCTGAAAAAGGAAGAACCATATGCAATTCAACTGAGAACAAAGTTTATCGAGCAGCAGAAACAAGGTAAGAGACAAATTATTGTTCTTCCATCTGAATCTGTAATACCTTGAGTTACACCCATTAACCTTCTGATCATTCATGTACATTGTAATAGAAAAGTGGTGCTTCAGGTTCAGATATCAAAATAGTACATTCATCTAATCCTGGATGTTATTTTTATTCCTCTTTTACCCTGACAGTGAAGTGAGAACTTGCTCGGAATATAAGTTTATTGTATTCAATAATGATGATGCTGGTGATTGTCCTACAAATAAATTGTTAGATGAATTGGCAGTACTAAAGGAAAGGAACAAATATATGGGAACTCAGCTGAAAGAAATGGAAGAAAGATATTCTGAGATTAGTCTTAAGTTCGCAGAGGTAGAGGGTGAAAGACAACAGCTTGTTATGGACCTACGGAATCTGAGGAATGGTAAGAACTAGAATTCTTTACGTGAGTTATATCTCACACAAATTACACGAGTTACGAAACAGACAGGACATCATGTTCGTATTGGTCGAATTAAAATCGAGCTTAACCGGTGTTTTTCACTTCAGTAGAATTAACATTTTCACCTCCTCCAATTTAAATTTGCTGGGCTGGGCCTCTTCGTTCGATATTTCTTGTCCATTGTTGCATTGAATTGACAAAGGTAGCTATGGGTTGGGGCATCAGATAGGCTATGTAGAAAATGGATTATCATTTAGATCTATTTGCATGATTTTGGGGCACATGTATTGCAAACACTATAGCCGATAAATAAGGCTTATGATTATAATGAGATGAAACACATTTTATTGAGAATGTCAAAGTTCAAAGAATAAACGGCTACTGAATCTAGAAAACCTATCATCTAGCTGAGGTAATTGCGTTTCCAAAGCTGTCGGTTAACTTTAGAAGCTCCAATTTTAATATTTATTTGAATGGTTAAAAAGGAAAATGTGTGTTTTGTTTATCATATAAAAAATCGGGTATATGTAATATTAACATTTCTTTGCATCAATTTGGAATAACAAAACACTACTGAGTTTTTTATAATCTTCGAAATAAAAAAAAAGAAGCACCAACAATTTTTGAGGTAAATTTTGCATCACATGCAACTTTTATTCTTTTAGATAGGAGTAAAACCATATATTTAACTTAATGAAACCATAACGTTAAAACTAAAATCCCCTACACGGGTTCTTACTTAGATCGTAAATAAATCATCATATGATATTCCCATTGGCTCCAAACATAGATTATCCAGTACGGTACCTAACTTCTTGTTCTGATCACGAACTCCATTTTCATGGCGGGAAACCATTGGCTTCAACTTTCATCAATATTACAAGTCAGTCATTATCATAGTCCTTTGTGTCATCGTAGAATAGTATAGATGATATATACCATATTTAGAAAGGATCAGAATCAGAAGTTTCTATGAGGAAATTAACCTGAGTAACGAAACCAATGTTATTTGGAATTACTTCGTAATTATGGTTTTAAAGGAAAAACCTTTCAAAAGGTTAAGGCCACCGTCATATATAATATAGATTCTCCACTCTTTTCTCCAATGATGATTATTGTGTCTGGTATGAGTTTGTCTTTTTATCACTCCAGACCAGCCTTGTTTGACCTCCAGTTCCGTTCCTCCCAAAGGTCAGCGTCTGCTAACCACCGAATGTCCATTAATAGGATAGAAGCAAAGTAATCAATGTCAATTAAATCTAGGAGGGAAACGAAGTTATTATAATTAGCAGTTTTTTATCTGTTATTTATATATTTAAAATAAGCATTAATTTATTTCAATTAGCAATTTTTTACTATAAATAAATTATGGACAATTAGTATTTCTAAGTTCTACTACTTATAAAACTAAATTGAAAGAATACGAGGTTTATGTACGGGCCCAGCTATATAGACAAATTTTTTTATAAATATTTTTGTAACTTTCTTTTACATATATCAAAGTTAATTTATATATAAATTAATTTGAAAAAGAAACTTTAATAAAATATATCCAAATTTTTAATTTATAAAAAAATAATTTCACGCTATTTTAAAAATATTTGTAGAGAAATTTATTTGAAAACATAAATATCCTTAAGACACTGATGAGTTGTAACTCTGATCCAAATTTTACATAGAGTGAAAAATGTTTGTAGGTTCACTTTTGTTGCAAGCTCGGATTCTCTACTTTCAAAACAAGACACGTTTAGTGCATTCAATGATGGAAGATCATTGACCTTAAACAAAATGACTTATAACAGTAAGAGCCAGATGAATCAGTATAAATCTACCTACAATGAATAACTGAATGTGGACGAAGACTATCCCGTTCAAACCTACCCCCACCTACAATACACATTTTATGCATTCATTCGCACATTGGAAGCTAGATAAGATAAACAAGAATTAAGAATAAATACTATCCCATTTCTATTTCTGCTTCTTTTGGTCGTATTTTTACTTCAATTAACACTAACATATAACGTAAACGTACCTTTGTTGATCGCTTATCTTTAGGAGTCCATGTGGATGAGGAAGTGGAATATCTTCCTTTCTTGGTCGAGTTTGAAGATAGCCCTGATTGCTTCTGTCTTTTCTGCTCCAGAATATTTCCAGATATTCTGTTAGGTTGGTACTTAAAAAGATCAATTACAGAAGGACTTCTTCTCTTGAAAGCTTTGGATTTGCTCCCAGGATACCCAAAATTAGGGGCAGAATCTTCACACGATAATGATTTTTGACGCAATTTGCTCTTTTCTTTTACTTTATTGATAAATTCGGTTGTCCAGGGTGAATTCTTTAATACACAAGCTGATCGGCGGGCAAATGAGAGAGGAGTTTCACTCAAATGTGACATTTCTTCCTTGAATGGTGATTCTTCTAAATTTCTCATCAATGCCTGAGTTAAATCAATGTTTTCATGAGGCTTGAAATCAAGAGGAAATACATTTTCTCCAAAATCTGGTTCGGGGAATTCGTCAACTTCTCCTTGTGTATCTTTTAAGGATCTCCGTACTTTCGATGAGTTGGTTTCTGGGTGACTACGTTTATCAAATGACAATTTCCTTGCAATTTTATTGTTTCTCATGTAATCTTTATCTGTCTCCGTCATCAAATTTGTGAAGTACATGGAATCAGGAATGGCAAAGCTTTTATCAAATAAGGGACTATTTGTCAAGTCCAACACCTCACCTCTAATATCTTCATGCAGCTTCGGACTTGGGCTATGCCAATTCACACTTTTTCCCATCAAATCAGAGTTCAGTATTTCATTTTTAGCCAACTCTTTATTTTTCAAAGATAAGCCGGGTTGTCTCAGTTGCTCTGATTTTTGCGGAGCTTTGCAGTTCCCTGGTGAATAGGAGACTCCGGAAAGGTTTCGCATTGTAGCCGCGCTGTTATTCTGCTTTTGACCAAAAAACTCACTCATGGATAAACTTGTCCTTGCGAAATCACTGGATCTCCCAGCATTTTTTGACACACCAAAATCAAAAGGTGTTGGCAAGGTAGAGGAATCCGGAACAGCCTCGAATTGCATCAACTCATCAAAACACAGTTCATCTATCTGATGACTACTTATAGGATGTTTTCGTTTTCTTTCATTTTGAACTTGATATAAACAACACCTATCTGAGTCTAGACTAGAAGATACCGACGAGGAGCAATCTGTCATTATGGATTTTGAATCCTCCCGTTCCCCATATCTGCAGAAAACACTGAAAAGAGAAATACTTTCTTCTGGAACGTGATACTTTTGTAAAACATGCATCCTTTGCTCATGTGACCACCCAAGAAACTCATTAAGCATGACCCCTGAAGATAGTATAGAGTGTGCCGTTAAAGGATTTATTCCAGGAAATTCCGTGAGAAAAGACTCAGCAAGAGTTACCGAGTCAGGCATTTTAGGATACAGACCCCTTGTCATATTGGTAGCAGTCTTAATGCAGCTTACAATAACTTCATTTGTCAACTCAGGTGAGGAAGAGAAGAATATCTGCAAATCAATTCCCAGGCTTGTTGCTGCAGCATAAAGTCCATCAGAAGATTCCATTACAGTTGAAAGAAAATTAAATTCTCCTTCAAAGACCTGGAAAGATAAATAAGCATATTTAAACAAGCTCAATGTATAAGTGATCAAGCTCAACTAACACTCACCGTTACAACAACTCTCATATCTTAATCATACTACCTCATACCTCTATATAATCAGACTTAAAAAACTAATTTTATCTGCTACCTTGTACAATAGCTTATATCTTACAAATACGTAATATACAAAATGACGATGACTATGATTAAAATCCTTAATTCCTCTTTCCACAGGAGTTTATATAAGAATCTGCGGCAGACATTAATCTTCCAAAGGGTCCAAAGGAAAATTTAAAAATGGAAAAGCCAAACCCGAGTTCTGAGATTGACATACTTTCCCTCAAAAGGCTTTTCAAACAACTCCTAAGGAAACCATCTGACCAATTGTCAAGTACCTTCAGGAGCACTACTTGACATTTCAGTATTTCATAGAAACAGTTTAAATAATAAATAAATATCACACAAGGGTAATTAGTATAAAAAAGTTGCAATTACCAGAAAGCAACCATGGAAGTAAAAACTAAACAATGTCAGAACATCTGTGGCAATGTTCTCAATACATAAAGGCAAGCTTGAGGATGCTTCCGTTGTTGGTGTTGCTTTCTTCCCAAGGTTTTCACTATCATACCATGCCAAGCAAATAGCAGAACTTAATATAATATCCGCGGGCAAATTTAAATCACGTTCAACGACTTGAATTCCTTCTTTCTCCATTGCCAGAATTACTTGGTAAGAGCTTCTTCTAGACATTATCATTTCCTTATCTACATTTTGAGTATTTACAATGATAACTGTTCCGGGAAGAGCCTCCATGTTCTTATGACCATGCTCAGTTTTCACAGCAGGAATTAGTGGCACAATATTGTCTTCCTCAGGTACAACCTTTGAAGATATTTTATCATAGCATTTCTCCACAGGACAAAAGTTCAGTAGTCTCTCCACGTCCTGATTCATCATATTTTTCTTATGACTGAAAATAGGATGACTCTCACTTTCCTAGCAGACAATCATTGTAACTTGCATTAGTGAGTTCTCTATACGGTTACACGTGAACTAGTAGACAACACATGAACACTAGGAATTAAGAGTAACAATCAATTGATGCAGGTAATTCAGTAACTCAAATTAAAAATAGGTGACAGATGGAAGCATTTCATTTCAACGTCAGTAACACACATGTCACAACTTCATTTACTATAATCACAAATTTGAAGTTACAGTCATCTTCCAATGTGGAATAAACTTTAAATTTTTTGAAACATATAAGATTTAGAAAACTCAACTTTTTTGGTTCATAATGACCACCAGACTATGCCATTAACCCACCTTCAAATAAAAACTGTTTTCCTTTTCTGTACAAATATAGTATCCGTACTCAAGCCTTTCTGTTCGCTCTATTTTACGCTGGCGCACATGCAGAGATACAGAAGCAAGAACATGTAACATGCATGATATTGATACTGACCAGTCCCTCAAATCTATGTAATACACCAAAGTAGTTGGTTATAATTCCAAATTTCGGTCAATTAGTTCGTAAAATTACAAAATCCTTCAAACTACCGACAAGAATCATTTTAGAATTTAGTCTTTGATGTGACCTAAACAATGGTCATTTTAGAACTAGAAAGACTAACATAGCTGTCTTGTCATTTCAAGAACTACAATGATAGTTTTTGTAATTTAAGGATAAAATTGATTAGTGTTCCTAATTTTAGAATTTCAGGCTGATTATTTCCTTCTTTTTTTGTCCCTTTGCTCTTAATATCTTGAACAGTTTGCTGGATAAATCAAAAAACATGTTGCTCTAATATACTGTAAGGTACTGCAAAATCATACTTTGTGGAGAATCATGAATGGGGGGACACTGGGGAGTATAACGATGGTCCATGTGAGGCAATTGAAAGAGCTACTTTCTGAAAACACAATATTGTTGGGTTTTAGCATTTTCTTAATGGAGAAATGAAGCAATCAAAATATCGAAGAATGTAATATATTGTGTATTCTCATTGAGTGAGACTGTTGGTTCTTGCTTCTCAGATAACAACTCGAGCCATTTTTTCCTATAAATGAAATAGCTCTATTAGAGAAAAAAACACTTTTCTGTGTAGTTTTTATTAGTATAGTAGATTTCAAATCTAATTTTGAATTTTTTTTTTTTCATAATTTACTAAGTTTCGTAAAGCCCTATTCATGTATGCCTGTATAGTATCTACAATATAGATTATATACATATTATTCATAACCACAGTGGCTTACCATTAACATTTCAGTGTTTGGCTGCTTTTCAACACCTTCGCAGAGTGCTTTGAGAGCGGCATGACCATCAAATTCAACAGTCAAAAAGTGAATATGAGGCAATCCAACCAAGTTTTTGGAAATCTCAGATATCCTAGATGAGCAGTATGAACCTCCATATTCCAAGATAATGTCAAATTTGTTGAGTGGAAACAATGGAGAGATATGCCTTCAATCAAATTGAACAGTTAACTCACATTCTTATCAGAAAAAGTATGGCTGAGAAAATGACAGCAAAAATCTTATGGTCTGCATTGATGCTCAGAATGTACGATTTGATAAACTAAATTGAGGAAATTGAAAGGAAATCAATTTCATTAGAAAAATTTAAGCAGTGTCTCGTTTGCTTCCATTTCGGAATTTTTCTGCTCCATATTCAATATACAAAAAGGAAATCCATACACTTAGAATCTGAATTTTAAAAGCCTTCTACAATTATAGGGAAAAAGAAGTATAAATCTATACATGCAATATAAATAAAATATCCTGAAACAAAAGCTTACTTGTGTGAAACCAACAAGCAGTCAGAAATCAGAAGTTCTTTCATTTTAGTATCTGTGTCCTCAGGCCCAGTAGTTGCACATGGATGATTTCTATTAGAACCATTTTGTTCACTGAATGATAACCCCAGGGAAAGGAGAAGATTTTTCAATGAAGACCAGAATACTTCTTCAGCCACAACCAAAGTTTTCAAACTATCCCGTTTGATGTACGACTGGAAAATCTCCTTCACAATTGTTAATGACGGATGTGCCATAGTAACATTGTTTTCCACCTTTCTTTTTTCATCTTCGATCAAAGATTGGAGGAAGCCTAACCTTGATTTCAAATAGTCCAAGTTTTGACATAATTTGTCTAAATACATGAATGCTGGATGGAGACCATAGAAACACAAGTACCAAGCAGCCTGTTTAATAGCACATAACACAATAAATGTCATATTGTTTCCATTTACATGGTATTCGATCAGCTTGTGCCTTTGAAGACTTAGCAATTTTAAATAATCTACATCTGATTTATATGCTTTTGTCATTTCAGTATCTCTGTGCAAAATGGCTAGATAGCTTTTTTCAAAATATCCAGCCAGGGCCACAATATTATCGGACAACTTAACTCTATGCAGAACAGTATGGGACCCTAGCGACTGCGTATCAACCTTCAATTCAGTTGATGAAACTTTTTGAATACTAACATTAGCATTAGTGGACTCGACTGAATAATTATAATTCCCCTTACCAGTCACTTTTTGAGGGTTCAAGAAATAATCAAGATTGCTGATTTCTGACCGAGATTTAAATAACAATGAAGCCCTCTCAGCCGTTCTTTCGGGTAATTGTTCTCCACTTTCTTGTTTAGGAGATAGATGTCCTAATATTTTGCCCGAAGCAAATTCTACAGGATGATTGTCAGGGAGAGGCATGCAATCAGAAAGCAGCTTCTGCAACTCTTCATCTAGTTTAATGTCACATTCACCTATGGCATCATCACAGAAAACTAAACCAAATACCAAATTTCCATCATCAAAAGATTTGTCTCCAAAATCTTTGTTTTTCAGGTCTATCTTGGCTAATGTTTTCTGATACCAGTTTGAAATCTTGCAATTGCACTTATCTTCTTCAAGTAGATCCCAGTTTAAGTAAATTCCATCAGATGCAGAGAGGGGTCGGATCTTCAAGCTGGAAAATTGTTCTCCAATAGTGTCATGTAGAGTTATCATCTTTTTGTGATCAGAGATAACAGGTACAGGCAGTGATTTGAACGTGTCATCAGTTAGTGCTATCTCGTTACTGACTATCAATTCATCAAAACTCTTGAAGTTAAACTCTTTCTTAAACATCCAGTCATTTGTCACCAGATCATCCGAAGCTTTTGTGTTATAGAAATCTTCAAAGGTTTGCATTAAGTCTTCATCAAGGAACTCGGAATCCTGGAAGGTAACAAAATTCTCTAACAAGTCACTATTAGTATGTGATGTCCTCTGCAGGCCAGTATTCCCATTAACATGTTCAGTTTCAACCATATTTATAAAATCGCTTTCAGGAAACATATCTGATAACTCCAGGCTCTTCTTTGATACACACTCATCTGAGAAAAATTCCATCATGTTATGCTTCACAGAACCCAAAAGTTCCTGGCCCTCTGCTACGGATTGGCATTGTTCATTAAAGTTTTGAGATCTGATGTTTTCAAAATACGAGTCAACTACTTCCACCAAAGATATGACTGTGGGAATTTCCAAACTTCCCTCATCCACTTCCAGAATAAGAAATTTGTTTTGCTCAGAGCGTGGCAGTTTTTGAACGGAAAAATGATCTTCTAGAGAATATGCATTTTCGCCCATCAGGTACTCCGAAATTACATCTTCAACCAAAGAAACTGATTCCAGAGCCTCGTAAGGGTACTGCCTTGATGGTTCAGGCTTCTTGAGCATTTCCTGCAAGGGAAACAGAAGAACTAGTTCTCTATGAAGCTTTGAGACAACATATCAGCGGAAATTTTTTCTAAAATTTGAAATATTTCGTTGTATCCTATATTACTGTAAGACCTAGGTAAGACCAAATCCATTCTTATGCTTGATCATTCCATGCTGAATGATAAAAAAGTTATCAATATTCGAAGGATAAAATCAAAACAAAATCTATTTAGCTCCTCCATTTATCAAATGAATAACTACAACAATTGAATTTAACAAAACGGCTTGTATAAACTATATATATGCATTAAAACATTTTATACTTTGAGAACACATAATCAAAGCATACAACAAGGGAGTATTGTTACAATTCCAATATAAATAACAAACCCATTTATCAAAACTGTACATAGTTCATATTCATACACAAACCTGTAGCAACAGCTCAATGTACATAAAAACCAAATGATTTCATGCGTGTCCACAAATTACAACATTTTACCAGGCTATTTTCAACCTCTGGAGTTTGAGACAGCATTTGCATCCTCTCCGACTCAGTGACGCATATATTTTCCTTTAAAATGTAAAGAAACAAAAGTAAAATAAAGAAGGAAGATAAAAATTGAATTAAACTGCTCAAACAAAAGGTTATCTTATATTATACATATAACCACAAAATTGGAAAGAAACATCTCACCAAGAATGCGTCAAGCTCAGGTCTTTCAAATTGAATCGTCTCATAAACAGAATCGTTCTTATCACCGAGCACAGTACCTTTACACTCCTGCCAATGATATCGCTGAATAAATAACTAAATAAAAGAAAAAAGTGCAGCAAAAAAGGATTATGAATTAAATTAATATACATTCGACAATTTGATATCAGCTTCGGAGACACGATCTTCGAAGATAACCTCCGCCTCTTGCTGCAACGCAATCAAAACATTAAAAAAAAAACACGACCACACTCAGGAACGGTAAGATTCGTATGTAAGTATACTATGCACATAGAATCACAATTTGACGAGCAGAGACAAACGCAAACTCAAAATTCACTATGCGATTACGATTCTCGAAGTTTACCGCGGGGTTCGAAATGGTGAGATCTCGCGAGTGGATGCGGATTCGGTGTGGGAGGACGGCGGGGAGGAAGGCAGATAGCGCAGCATGGACGGGGAAGGGGTCGAGGTGGAGGGAGAGATGGAGCGGAGGGTCGAAATGGAGGTTGTGGTGGACGGCAGAGGGCGGCGGCGTAGGGAGGCGAGGGACGGGGAGGTGGAGGAAGGGAATTGTTTGTGGTGGAGGGAGAGCAAAGTAGTCGTTGTTGAGAAAGCGAGTTCGCATTTTCTGAATAAGGTGGTAACGGACTCGGAAATTGAATTGAATTTTGGCGCTAAGTCTGCTATTTATAGGACGTGAGATTATGACCTCGGAGCGGTGCAAGAACCGAACCATGAGAAGCTTGCCCGGCTGACCCGAAATTTGGATCCGTTACACATTGATATAAGCCTGAACCGAATTTTTGTCTGATGACCCAACCTCCAATATATTATAACATTAATAAATGGATTTTTTTATTTACTTAACCTAACCTCTTAATATCTTTTATTGTTATATTTGAAATTAGATTTTCCGGAATTCCAACTTTTTTTTAAATAAAAAACGTAAATAAAATATATAATTAAAAATAATAAAAATAATATTAAAAATAAAATTTTAATTTTAAAATTTAAATAATATTTATATAAAAAATAATAAAAATAATATATTATTTAAATATATATTAAATTATTTAAATAATTATTAAATATATTAAATAATAATTTTTTATTATATATTTTTTATATATATTTTTTATTTTTGAATAGGAAATTTAAAATTTATATATATTTTTATTATATGAATTATTTAAGTTATAATTTTATAATAAATAAAAATTTAATTTAGGTAATATATTAAAAAATTAAATATTATATTATAAAAATTTATGTAATAATTTTTATTTGATAAATTATAAATATTATATTAAAAAATTCATGCTAAAATTAATTTTTTTAAATAATAAAGTAAAAATATTATTTAATTAGTTAAAAATTATTATTATTAATATAAAATAAACTTAAAAATAAAAAATAATAAAAATTGACAAAATTTAATGTATAATATTAAAAATAACATAATCATTGATAATAAAAATTGAAAAATAAAATTATTGACAATAATAGAAAATTTTAACCTCGAAGTGGTGTCCAGCTTCCACAACGTGGACAACGTCTATTATGTTTTGGATTTCGTCGGTGTGGTTGTTCTTGAATTTGAGGAGAGATTTGTGGAGGGTTTTCTTCTTCATAAACCTCTATTATTTTCACTCTATAAAAATCTTTCTACCTTTATTATTTTTCTTTAATATCATGTTCTATAATTTTTATTTTGCTACTAATAACTTATTTTTAATTTTACTTTTAATATTTTATATATTAAATTTATCAATTTTTTTCTAAAATTATAACTTAATAATTCATATAATAAAAAAATATACAAATTTTAAATTTCTTATTCAAAAATATAAAAAAATATAATAAAAAATTATTATTTAATATTTTTAATAATTATTTAAATATATTTAAATAATATATTATTTTTATTATTTTTTATATAAATATTATTTAAATTTTAAAATTAAAATTTTATTTTTAATATTAATTTTATTATTTTTAATTATATATTTTATTTAATTTTTTATTTAAAAAAAGTTATAAGTTTAAAATTTGAATTCGATTTACGAGAAACAAAATTTAAAGTATAATAGTAAAAGATGTTAAGTTAAGTAAATAATTTCATCGAGTTAATTAAATAATTTCATCGAAAGTTCTATTAAGTATGTATATAATATAATAATATTATTTTAATAAAAAAAGTCTAATAAATGTCGCTTAAATTAATTAAGTAATTAATTAAATAATATTATTCAACTCTTAAGTAATTAATTAATATTAAAAGTAAAAATGATATTTTAAATTTAGAAAGACAAAAATAAAAATAAAAATTATAGAACGAAAATAAAAATTCCTTCACTTTATAAAAATAAAATCATATTTAACACCATACTTTATTATATTAATATTTGATTGTACTTATCTTTTAATAAGAAGCTGACTTGGATTCCAGTTTTAAATTTCTTGACACTTATATCAATATAGAAAATATTATAAATAACACGGTACTGTCTGAAACATTTGAATGCATATTTTGGAAAAATTATAAACGCTACAAATAATTCGAGGAGAAATTTATTAAAAATCTCAAATGTATAGCCTACTTTTTATTTAATGAATTTGTTGCCTGTTGTAAATAAAGATTTATCAAAATTTGTGATTTTAATAAATTTAAGTTAATATTAATTGAGGGAGAGTTAAAAAAGTGTTATAAAAATGTTGTTCATATACATAAATCTTTATAAGTTTAAATAATATTTTTCGACAAATATTACAAAAAATGTAACTAATATTTTTCAATACACTAGTGATACTTGGAAAAAAAAGGAGTAACTACTTTCGGCATTTCATTTTATATAATATTATTTTACAGAAAGTTATAGATTAATTGTTCTTTTATTATAAAACTACTTTTTCTTAATCGAAAAGGAAATGAGTAAATAGTTAAAGAGATTTAAAGATATTGTTATTTAATATAATTTGGAGGTAGCTCCTCTAAAACGTAGACTCTATTATTGAATATTTTGAAACATGTAGAGTGAAAAGTGTGTTAAGATATATGGATATTTTTAATTCTTGGCACACCTTCCTATAACAGTCTACCTCTTAAAATATTTTAAGATTTGGACCGACTTGGATATTTATTTATTAGCTTATTTTCTAATTCAAAAATATTGATAAAATAGATTTCAGAGTATATATTTAAAAAAAATAAAAATTAAAACATATAATCATAAACTTTAACATATTTTGTGAATAAATATGTTTTTGTTTCAAATAGTTCACATCCAAGTTTGGCTAATATCATTTGTATAACCTCAATGAATTAATCAAACGAGAAATGAAACAACTTGAACTTTCATGTGTGTGAATGTTCTATGTATCACATTCATTATACTGACACATTGTAGTAATATTTATCTATTATCTCAGAACGGTTTTTTCCTACTTCTAAAGTTCTTGTGGTGTATGAGGATCAGCCACGTGTCTAAAGCATCTCCACACGTGGCAAGTGGCAAAGGCGTGTCAGTTATGTCACACGTGTCTTCAGTTTGGAGATGCCACAGCCATGCAAAGGTGGCAAAACACAGTTTCATGTTCTTCTTTATAAAGCTTTGTCATTATAAACCTTCATCATGAAACATTCCTCACCGAGACACTTGAAGAAGTTACGTATTCAATCATGGATTCAAGAGCAGTTCAAACTCATGGGCAAAAGTACGATCAACATCACCATAATTCTCACAATGTTGGGTCACAAGGAGGTACAAAGTTTACTTATTTGGAATATGAAAGTTTGATTTGATTTGATATACAAGAACCTTCATGTTTGCTTCCTCTAGTGGGCACGTACATGTTACTTTCCTTTTTGTAATTTGTTTGGTTTTTGCTTCAAAATTTTGATGTAGTGGCACATGGAGAAGAACACAACCAGCATGGCCATGAGAAGAAGTCGGTTCTGAAGAAAGTCAAGCAAAAGGCTAAGAAAATTAAGGACACGATCACAAAGCATGGTCATCATGAGCATGAACATGGCCCCGAGTATCACTATGAAGATCAACATATCCCTGATGATCATGACTTGGATGAAGAAGATGACGAAGATTTAGAGCCAGAAGTCCATGGAGCACCGAGTAAGTTCTTTCTCTAGCACATTTGAACTAACCACACCCGTTAGGACAATTTTGTTAAGAACCAACAAGTTTCAAGGATAGTTTTTAAGATAAGATCTAACAATTTGGAATTTTGGAAGAAAATTGGAGCCTTATAATGAAAATAATGAAGAATAAAAGAGGATTTCTCGGGTTAGATAATAATATACATGATTGTGCAGCAGTTTACGACAGTGCACCTGTTAGAGGTGCAGCACCGGGGCAAGTCCATACTATAGGGAGAACTAGAGTTAATTTTGGAAGTGCAACAGTTATGGGAGGAGAACCTCATCAGGAGCCAAGAGTATTGGTTGTTTCTCCAACTACTGGTGTTAAGCAAAGCAGAGTCACTGACCAAACTAGGACATTTGTTGAGGTAGAGAAACAAGTGCTTGCTAAGCTCAATTTGGAGAGTCCAATGCACTTGGAGGAAGATCCTCACGCCCCACGACGGGCACCTCAAGCACATGCTCCAGTAAATTATCAAACCAAAGTCACAGATCCAACTGGAGCAGGTAAGTTGAACAAAGCTGCTAACTCATTTTTTCAGTGATCTGTTAAGGCATGCGGATTCCTTGATGTATAGATAGCGGGTTATATTGATAAAATGCATGCTCATTAAAATTTATTGTGGTTAAATGTGGCGTTTGATTTTGAGTTTCTCAAGTGGTACGTGGTGTTATCAACAAGTTCTTTAACGCAATCCAAAAGAGATTGTGACGAAGATTTAACATGGACTATATTTTTGTACAACCATGAGATTTAGCATCTTCACTTGGCTTGATTTGAATAATCTATCTCATCTTCACTTGGCTTGATCTGAATAATCTATTCTCACGCCATTTTTTGTCATGTCTTATGCCCAACAGGTGGGTCAGAAATTGACACTACCTCAGTTGAGAAATCTTTCGCCAGGATGACCGTTCTTTATGAGCCTAAACCTTGCCAAGAACCAAACCTCTTTCCCTCTATTCCTGAAACTCTCCACACTTCTGCTGGAAAACACTCTCAATTTGCACCGGAGGTGTCTAGTGCAACTACTTACACATGTACTCAAAGCTATGGTCAATACTTGCCAGAACTTTCTAGTGAAGTTAAAACCCAATACCCCAGAAGCCATGACCAGTTTACACCAGAGTTGTCCACACCAACCAAAACTCACTATCCTGAAACCAAAATCCATGACCAATACTTGCCAAAACAATCCAGTGCAACAAAAACTCATTACCATTCATCTGGAAGTCATGATCAGTTTACACCACCAGTGTTATCTTCTGAACCTAATATTCAGCACCCTTCTACGAAAATCCATGACCAACACTTACCACAACAATCCAGTGCTCCAAAAACACAATACTCTTCATCTAGAACCCATGATCAGTTTACACCACCAGTGTTATCTTCTGAACCTAATATTCAGTACCCTTCTGCCAAAATCCATGACCAACACTTGCCACAACAATCCAGTGCAGCAAAATCTCAATACCCTTCATCTGGAACCCGTGATCAGTTTACACCACCAGTGTTATCTTCTGAACCTAATATTCAGTACCCTTCTGCCAAAATCCATGACCAACACTTGCCACAACAATCCAGTGCAGCAAAATCTCAATACCCTTCATCTGAAACCCATGATCAGTTTACACCACCAGTGTTATCTTCTGAACCTAATATTCAGTACCCTTCTGCCAAAATCCATGACCAACACTTGGCACAACAATCCAGTGCAGCAAAATCTCAATACCCTTCATCTGAAAACCTTGATCAGTTTACACCACCATTGTTAACTACTGAACCTAATATTCAGTACCGTTCTTCCAAAAGCCATGATCAACACTTGCCTCAACAATCTACTGCAGCAAAATCTCAATATCCTTCATCTGGAAGCCGTGATCAGTTCGCATCAGATTTATATACTGAACCCAAAATTCAGCACCCTTATACCAATTTAAATGACCAACACTTGCCACAACAATCTGATGCAACAAAATCTCAGTACCCTTCAACTGGAAGACATGTTCAGTTTACACCAGAGTTATCTACCGAACCTAAAATTCAGTCCCCTTACACCAAAACCCATGATCAAAACTTGTCATTGCCACAAAGTGCAACAAAATTTCAATACCCTTCATCTGTTAGCCATGACCAGTACCATTCTACCATGATCCATGACCGGCACTTGCCACAGCAATCTATTCCAAGTGCAAACAATACTCAATATCCTTCAGCTGGAAGCCACGATCAGTTTCTACCAGAATTTTCAACTCAAACCAGAACCCCACAAGCATACAACACCACACATGTTGAGGAATCCCAATACAGACCAATGGAGAAACCATCCAATGAGAGCAGTTACACAGAGAAAATCTCATCAGCAACCTCTTCAGTAGCTGATACAGCAATCAATGCTAAAAATGCCGTAGCTTCAAAGCTTGGATATGGTGACAGAAATGAGACCGAGGCAACTCAAGCAAAAAGGCAAGAAGATAACATAAGCAATGAAAACCCATCAACAATCTCTTTAGCTACCGCTGCAATAGCTGATAAAGCCGTCAGTGCCAAAAACACAGTAGCTTCCAAGCTTGGATATGATGCGGACACCGAAACAACTCAAACAAAACATCATCAACAGAACACAAGCAATGAAAAACCGTCAACAATCTCATCAGCAACCTCTGCAATAGCTGATAAAGCTGCCACCGCCAAAAATACCGTAGCTTCAAAGCTCGGATATGGTCCTGAAACAACTCATCAGGAACAAGAAAAACCATCAGTAGTCTCTTCAGCAACCTCTGCAATAGCTGATAAAGCTGTCGCTGCCAAAAACACCGTAGCTTCAAAGCTCGGGTACGGTGCTGAAACAACTCATCAGGAACAAGAAAAACCATCAACGGTCTCTTCAGCAACATCTGCAATAGCTGATAAAGCTGTCGCTGCCAAAAACACCGTAGCTTCAAAGCTCGGGTACGGTGCTGAAACAACTCATCAGGAACAAGAAAAACCGTCAACGGTCTCTTCAGCAACATCTGCAATAGCTGATAAAGCTGTCGCTGCCAAAAACACCGTAGCTTCAAAGCTCGGATACGGTGCTGAAACAACTTATCAGGAACAAGAAAAACCGTCAACAGTCACTTCAGCAACCTCTGCAATAGCTGATAAAGCTGTTGCTGCCAAAAACACCGTAGCTTCAAAGCTCGGATATGGTGCTGAAACAACTCATCATGAACAAGAAAAACCATCAACGATCTCTTCTGCAACCTCTGCAATAGCTGACAAAGCTGTCTCAGCCAAAAACACCGTTGCTTCAAAGCTTGGGTATGGTGATGACACTGATACAACACAAGCAAAGCATCACGAAGAAGAAAAACCATCAACAATCTCTTTAGCAACTTCTGCAATAGCCGATAAAGCTGCCTCGGCCAAGAACACCGTAGCTTCAAAGCTCGGATACGGTGCCAACACAGAAACAACACAAACAAAGCATTACGAAGAAAACACAAGCAATGAACAACCGTCAACCATCTCTTTAGCAACCTCTGCAGTAGCTGATAAAGCTATCTCAGCTAAAAACACCGTTGCTTCCAAGCTTGGTTTCGGTGACACTACAACTACACATGAAGAAGAGAAGGAAAGAGAGGACGCTTCTGCCCCTACTGAATATGGAAAGAGAGTTGCTCAGTCTCTGACTGAGAACCTAGGCCCATTCCATGGAAGTGGTGTGAAGTCTAACATTTCAGGAACAGCAGGTGAAAGAAATGCTAGTGTGGGTGTGGAACAAGACAAGGGTGTTTCTATGAGGGCCTACTTGGTGGACAAGCTAAGGCCAAGTGCTGAAGACAGGGCTCTCTCTGAAGTGATATCAGAGACTTTGCATAAGAAGGAGCCTGTGGAGGTTACTGGGGAAGAAGGAAACAAGGGAGTGAAAAAGGTCATCTCTGATGCAGTGCATAAGAGAGAGGATGAGCCTGAGCGAAGAGTGGACCAACAAATACCAGTATGGAAGGTAACAGAATCAGAGGAAGTGAAAACAAGGTTAGGTGATGAAGATGAAAAGACTGAGAGAAGGTACCAAGAGATGTATGTGAATAGTCCAGGGACAGGTGTGGTTGATAAGCTCAAGGGAATGGTTGGATCATGTGGAGAATCAATCCTCACAAGGTAATAAAGGGCCTTCTTTAATTTTGAGAAATATTATTGTAATGGTTTTACAAATTTTACTTGCTCTCTCAGTTAGTTTTTCAAGCCACTGATATCACTGTGTTTCTTCCACTGATTTTGAGGAGTATGTGATTTTGTTGTGGTTGCATGTGACGATTCGTCTACATCGAATTATGAGGCAGGAGTGGAACAGGTTAACCAAGGTGCGGGTGAAAGAAGATTACAAGAGTCATCTAATTGAAGAATTGGTTTGAAGGAATCTCTGCTCTGGGTGTTAATTTGTCTAGCTTTTTTATTTGTCCAGCTATATACTGCGTTTTGATCTTAGTTGGAAGGAAGTTTGGATGTTTAAGTCACTGTAATAAGTTGCTTTTATGTTTTCTTTATAGTGTATACAATAATTTAGGGTTGGTATTATGTCATTGTTAGTGTTATTTAAAGTAAAATAGTGTGTTAATGTGTTCATAAAAAAATTATATAATAAATTGCGTTCTTTAACTATTTAAATTTTGTTTTCAATTTATTTTGTCATGTACAATTCAGCTAGTTTCTTTATACTTAACATCAATGAGTTAAAAGTGGTCTGTCAAACTTTATCAATGTGGTCAAACTTTATCAATGTGGTCAACCTTTATCAATGTGGTCAAACTTTAGTCAAACTTTATCAAATGATAATCATGATAATACATATGGAATCAAATGGAATCAAATTTTTGATAACTCTGAATCAAATTTTTGATAACTCTATTGAATACCTAACATCAATGAAAGGGAATAAAATGGAATCAAATTTTTGATAACTCTATTGAATACCTAACATCAATGAGTTAAAAGTGGTCAAATTTTATCAACCTATGATAATCTATATGGAAATGATAATACTTTATCAACCTATCATCAAATTTGATAATCGTGATAATACTTTATATATTATGATATAGAATCAAATTTGTCAACTACAAAATCCATTACTATATTATCTCATATCTACAGATTAGGGAATTACTATATTATCTCTTATCTCATATCTACAGATTAGGGAACAGATTAGGGAATTACTATATTATCTCTTAGGGATTAATTATCTCTTACGGATTAGGAATTAGGGTCTTATCGAACATAACCTTACACCACCCAATATAAATTTCCTTACACCACCCAATATAAATTTCCTTATGTCACGAGTGTTTATACATTTTCTTTCTCTTTTCTTTTTCTGTTTTTTTTTTTCTCTCCTTTACTTTCTTTCTCCTTTCTCTCTTTCCTCTTTTTCTATTTTCTTTCCACTTTTCACCTTGGCAAAACTCTAATTTATACTTAAATATTTACTTTTTTTTTAATTCCTTTACATTAAATGCATGCTTATTTATTTATTTTTGTTAAAAGATAAGTTTCTTATTTTTTTAATTAATTAATTTTTTTATTTTAAAAATTTCTTAATTATCTTTTCAAAATAATTTAAATAATAATAGTTTTTATAATAATTAAATATTTATTTATTTTAATAATAATTTAATGGATGAATATTTTATTATAAAATATTTAAATTATCAAAAAAATATTATATTTTAATATAATATATTTTTTTGAAAATTACATAATAAAATTTAAAATGTTAGAAAACTTTGATCTTTTTAATAATATTTTGACACATGTAGCATTGATATATTAGGTCAAAACGGACTAGTCCCGTTTTGGCCAGTCCCATCAAAAACGGGATGAGGTGAACTAATCCGCAATAGTCATGAGGTGAACTAATCCGCAATAGTCCCATCAAAAACGGGATGAGGTGAACTAATCCGCAATAGTCGACGACTGATTGTAGACCTTGGTCCGCTCCGTCAAGGAGCGGGCTAGTGGGCTGACCCACCATAATTAAAAAAATATTTTTTAAATCAAAATTTTTAATAAAGTTAATAATAAGATTATTATTTGTTTGTCAATAATTTAATATATATATATATATATATATAGATATAATGTTAAAATTTATAAAATTTATATTCTTTATATTAAAAAATTTAAATAGTTATATCTTTTTTATTTGATAAAATTTCACATTGTTTTCATTTTAGTAATTCTTATACCTTAATTAATTCAAGTAATAAGGATAAGAATAATCAATCCTGAACAAGGAGAAGATGATAAAGAAGCTTGTATTTGAGCAAGGAGAATATTTTTTGTGAGAGTGAAACTTTTTTAATTCTCTATTTATAATTTATAATTTTATATATTTTTTTAATTAACTTTATTTTAATAAAAAATTATTTTTTATTAATTAAGTGGGTCGTGGGTCGGCATGCCCCGTCCCACACAAGTTGGTCTGACAGATTGGTAGGCTTGATGAAATGGGCCGTCGGACTAAAAACACCAACTCACCCTGTCATATTATGGCGGACTGACCCACCGAACATGCCCATTTTACCATTCCTATATTAGGTTTATAACTAAATTCATAAACAACATATAATTGTGTTGGTGGGAAAAAATCGAAAATCGAAAGAAGAAAAATGTTGGTGGGAAAGAATCGAAAATCGAGAGAAGAAATTCAATGACAGTATGTTAGAGAAAATCGAGAATCTAAATCGAAAATGGATAAGAGAAATTTGATGACCTGGTATTTTGGAAAATCGAGAAACTGAATCGAAAGAAGACAAAGGAAGTTCGATGATCATGATTGGGAAGTAAAAATCGATAATAGGTATTGATGAACGTTTGGAAAGTGCACCAATCATTAACGTAGTAATAAAATATCGTCCTCTGGGATTGAATTTGTTGAATACTAGATTCCTAATGTACGTAAGTTTGAGCAATTGAAAATTTGGATAAAATATCAAACATAGAATTATAATAAGAACTTTAGTCAAAATAAGATCTGTTAGAGAATTGATTTCATACTCTTTCCTATATAATTCCAGTCCTTTCAATTGATGCAAGAAATGTAATTATCCACTTGAGTTTACCCAGAGTTGTTTTACCCCTAATCCCTTAATAGGTAAAACTATTCATTGAATCCGAACCCCCAATCCCTTAGGTCAGTTACGCCATTCAATAGAATCATGAAAAAAACAATAATCTTCTCTATTGCAAACTAATTAGATATATGCCCAATTTCCCAATTGTGACAAACCTTAACCTGTTATATTTAGGATCACGAACAACCTCCAATCTCCCAATTGTGAAATTGCTCGTGGAATGAACTTGAAAATTATAAATAGAACACTGAGATAAAGAACATTAACTAAACATCAATTGTCAAGAACAAAAAAATATAATTCAGAGTACTACATCAATCCTCCAACAACAGGAAAATCAGTTCTGCATAATGTAAAAATTGCTAAAAGATAATAACTAGAACGTAAAAAATTCCAGGATGGTTCTCCTCCCCCTTTTCAGTTTCGTTCCACCTTCTTTATAGGGTGTCCCCCGTTTTTTCTCCACTTGTTGAGGTAGTTACCACTTCTCATAACTGTCTTGAATTTCCACATGTTGTGGTAAAATCCACAACCCACCTGTGAAACTCTCTGACTTCAACTGTGCCTTCTGAACCATAAATCCACAGGTTGTGGAAACATCCACAACTCACCTGTGGAGCTCTCTGATCTTGATCTTTGCATTCTGGTACCAAATCCACAGGTTGTGGAACATTTCACAAGGTACCTGTGGAACTTGCTGATATGAAATATTTTTATCTTGACACCAACTCCCTCCAAACTATGAATTTAAACCTCCAAACACCTATTTACAAGAACAATGCACAAACCACATGTATGATCCAAAACAACGATAATGCATGATGAAATCGTTCCCATAATGCAACAACATATGAAATTAACCTAAATTAATGCATGAATGTAATGATATTTTATCCACTCATCAAATTCTCCCAAGCTTAGACTTTTACTTGTCCTCAAGCAAAGAGAATTTAATAAAAACAGGACGATAATGCAAACAAAATGATGAGTGTTTTTGATTGGGAATGCATCGTCTTGTCTCAAATCCAAATTCAATCAATGATATTCCAAAAGTATTTATTCCACAATTATTGGGTCCCTAAGTGAGTTGAGGAAAGGATGTAAGACACAAGACATCAAGGAAGACAATCTTTGAACTTTATTTTCTCTTTACAAAACTTTTTCTTAGGTTCTGGCCTAGAAGACAATTACCTGCCAACTAAACATGGATCTTCCACTCAGATGCTTTGCACTTGCCACACCCAGTCTCAAAGGAGTGCATCTTTCCCCACTAACTCACACAGTCTCAAAGGGGTGTCATTTCACTTATTATGCTTTTTTTTTATTTTACATTATTGTGAACTAACAGACAATTCTCCAGTAACCAAATGCAGTGAATGTCACCATAGACCTAAAAAGTTTAAAAACTTTCATATCCTTTTTACTCTATAACTCAAAAATTTTCTTCCTTAAGTGTCATAGTGTTCAGACTTCCTATGTAGTGTGTGAAGTTTCCCAACAAATAATCATGACAGATAACCATAGTATGCTTCATAAAATATCATTGAACAAACTTAAGACTTGAGTTAAGATAATGGATTCCCAATTCAATGTATATGTTATGCAAATGTAACAACAGAATGATATGCAATTGACCCTCCCAAGCTTAAATGTTTATGTTGTCCCCAACATAAGCAAAATAACTAAGACTAGAAGGGATAGAACTCACAAAATTATGGTTGGTTGGAGCGGAGGAATTCCATCACCTCTTGGAGCAATTGTTCCATGCGTTGTTGATGAAGAAGTTGGGAATCCCGAAACTGCACGAATTCGGTATAATGGCGTTGGTGTTGAGTGCGGAGATCAGCAAGTGATTGAGTGATGCGAGTAACCACGTCAGCATGAGAATCAAGGGAAACAGAAGGAAATGTCGAGGGTGGATTAAGGCGAGGATGAGAGGTATTGTGGGAATTCAAATCTGAAAATGTCCACCTTGCTAGACCACGCACAAACACCGGAGTTGCTCATTGTCGAGATGGCGTGGGGTTTG